TGCTCTTGAGCAGCGCGGATGGCGCTTTCCCGTTGGTCTCGTACATCGGCGTCTTCTTCAAGCTCGGCTGAAACTACAAGTTCTTGTTGGTCTTCGGGGAGCTCGAGCTCCCATTCCGTTTCCTTAGGCTTCGGTAGCGAGGCCAATCCCTGCTTCAGCCGATGCTTCACGGATAACTCGCGAAGACGCATGTCATTCGTGGCGCCCCCGGCTAGGGCCAACTCAGCATCATTTTTGTTAAGTGCAAAGGTGTCCCGAGGTGTCCTTAAAGGCGTCTGTCCCACTCTTTGGGGAGTGGCACCAACACCATTCATGCCGGCGCGCAGCGGAGTGGCCATTGGATTGGGAGTGGCGATAGTCTGCTTCCGGGGAGTAGCGCTCTCAAAACCTGTAGAACCGGATCCCTCATTGAGGTCGGCATTCTCACCACCAAGCAGAGCCGACTGGTTCTCAGTGAGGGCGCGAATATTTCTGATCTCCGTAGCAACTCGATCTTCCTGCGCCGGAGCCATCGGGGTTCGGATTGGCGTCTGCGTGTTCAAGGTCGAATATGTGTTGACTAGACCCCTGGTTGCATCGTTCTCGCTGGACTGCGCGAGGAGGTTGGCGCGCTCGCCCATCATGCCCATCTTTACGATATCTTCAAGTTCACCTTCGCTGACTTGCGGCCCTGGCAGCACTAGCGCTCTTCTTTTACTGCTCTGCTCCGCCTCGCGGATCTTCTGCATTTGGCCCGCCCTGATGGCAGCCTGGGTAGCAACCGAAGGGCCATCTTTGTCGTTCTTTCTCCGTTTCCTGTCAGCCTCCTCGTCCTGTTCTCCTTTTCGTTTGCTCGCAAGCTGTTGCTTGCGTGGGTCGAAGTGAGCTCGCTGGAATTCGTTCCGCTTTTGTTCGTCCGCAGTGTCGTAGAAACCAAGAGCGGGTGCCTTTTCAAAAGGAATGTCTGCATTGTAGTCCATCTGGCCACTTTTGCGCGTGACGACGTTGATGTTTATGCCAGCCGCCTTGAGCTCGCGGCGTTTCTGTAAGGCAGCTAAGCGACGCGACTCCTCTTGCTGACGTTCACGGGCTTTCCTCTTCGCTTTCTTTCCTTGTGTGTTCGCCAAACGGGCTCGCGCCTCGCTCAGCATTTCCTTTTCGTCCTCATCAAGGTCTATAGTGTCGGGCTTCGCAGGTTTGGTTTCGGGATCAGGGTCGACTTCGCCTGGGCGCAATCTACGAACGTCATCTGCGGTGGGTGCTTGAGTCTCGCCACCCTCAGGCCCGGTGAGGCCAAGACCCGACGATTCACGCTGCTCAGCCTCGTCAAGAAGCTTCTGGTAACGCTCGAGGCATTGATTTGCGGTGCGACCGACGATGGGCGCGATGGTTCTCCATTGCGTGGGCATCAACTTGGCCAGGTGCAGCAGCTTTTCATCCTCCTCCTTGCTCCATTCTATCTTCTTGATGCTGGGATCCAGCCATTCGTGCCATCTCGCCTTGCATTGCTTTGGTGTTTTTCGGGGTAACAAAGAGGACACGCGAGCCCACTGGTTGAGACCATATTTGGAGACGGAAGCTTTGAGGATCTCGTCCTCGATATTCGTCCACACTCCTCCCTTGACGACCGGCATTTCTACTTCCTATTTATATGTCGGTAACTAATTCCGTGGGAGGAGATATGGCGGCGGGTTGGTCCACGTCGGGTTGTGGGAGAGTTGCCGTTGTTTTCGTTGCCCGCGACAGACAGGCAGTCAGCCAGTTAAGGTAGACGTTGAACGGATCGCGATGCGCGCGCGGCGAGCTGCAACCAGCAGCCATAGGCTAATATTAGTTATCTGCTTATCGTCTTATCTTATCGGTTTCAGCGGGTCAAGCATCAAGCAGTGCCAGCATTATGTAAGGTGCAAAGGAAATGACGACGATGATAGCTATGCTTAAAAGCCGTATAAAGTACCCACCTAAATACTCCTGTATGGCCTATAAGCATAGGTAGTTTACAATGTACAAAGTATTCCGTACTTCTCTGGTTTTTACTCGCGGAACTTTTATCCTACGCCAAGGGTCCTTATCTCTCTCCAAACCATGACCACTCAAGGTCTCATTCCAACTGTAACCACATGATCGAATCTTTCGAATCTTTGGTATGCCGAAAATGGAGGCAGTGCACACCAAAGACGGCCAAGTCAACACGAATTCAGAAACATGACGGCGACTGGCTCTGCACATGGAGACTCCCGTAATTTACACTGTCGCCAACTAACTCCATACGGCCCAATGCATCGGACTTTTCCAGGTGTGGATACGAACTACCGACCATGGTTGGTGTACCGATTGGCCAACGGCTCAGTCCAAGTGAAGATGGGCAAGCAGATATTTTTTAGGTGGGATTTCGCCTCTGCCGTGCGCGGGTAGCAGCGGGAGGGGAACTCGAATCGGGCCTATAAAATTGGATAGTCTCGTGAAGCCCTTGCACTGTTGTTCATCATTGGCGAGGGGGTGGATAAGACGCAGAACAGAGATATTAAGAGGAGAGGAAGAAGGGATACGATGACCGAGGAGCGCCATATTCAAGAGGCAACATGGGACGGGAGTTAATCCCACGGAGGTCCATATTCCGACGCTTGCCACCATCAACTTCACGCCACGCACGTCACCGCCTGGTATGTCCGTGTTATCAGTCGTCGGAGTTGGCGGCATATTGCCAACGCCCTGGACGAAGATTTTTTGGCGGATGGGGCCAAAGGGCCATCATGGCTCCATAGTGGATGGAACGGCGCGTGTCTACTACGATCTGCAGCCGTAAAGTTTGTTCCCATTTATTCATGGTTGTGCCCTACCCGGGCTCTGAGCTATGTGTCAGACCAGTCCTCGGCTTTTCTTTCTTCTCGTCGGAACAAATCGACCTTCACGCCTGGCCATTTCTTCGTTGCTGTTTGCCCCAGGCCGCACAGAGTGCAGTGACGGGATCAAGCAAGGCCATGGGGACGTCCGTTGTTGGTACCGAGAAGCCAGATGCGCCGCAGGCCGTTCAACCCGTCGATGGCTCACAGGGGGATTTGGAGGCGGGCGCGGGCCTAAAGCGTAACCTCAACAGCTGGCATCTTCAATTCATTGCCATTGGAGGCACCATCGGCACGGGACTCGTAAGCTCCAGCAACTATCTGAATAGAAGGTGTTCCCCTTAACACGGCGTTAGTTTCTCGGCAGCGGAAAGGCTATTGCGACGACGGGGCCTGTTGGGTGCTTAATTGCGTTCATGTTCGTCGGGACGATTATCTACTCGATTATGGTAAGCCTCGGTGAGATGGCTACCTTCATGCCTGTTGCAGGATCCTTCACGGCCTACGCATCGCGATTTTTCGACCCTTCGCTCGGTTTTTCCATGGGGTGGATTTACTGGTTCAGCTGGTCGTCGACTTTCGCGCTCGAGCTCGTCAGTGCGGGACTCATCATTCAATACTGGAATAAGGACTTGAGCGTTGGTATCTTTATCGCCGTCTTTTGGGTTGTCTTCACGGCTTGCAACTTTCTGCCCATTCGTTGGTTCGGAGAACTCGAGTCATACTTCGTTTCTATCAAGGTCGTCACAATTATCGGCTTCGTTATATTCGCCATTTGCATCGATGCCGGAGCTGGTCAACATGGTTATCTCGGATTTCAGGCATGGGTTAATCCGGGGCCTTTCCTTGGTTACCTTGTCCCAGGCCATATCGGAAAATTTGTTGGATTTTGGTCTGTTCTTGTGACTGCTGGTTTCTCCTACCAAGGTGTCGAGCTCGTCGGTATCGGAGCAGGCGAGACGGCGAATCCCGCCAAGAGTGTGCCATCGGCCATTCGATGGACATTCTGGGGTGTCTTCTCGCTGTTTGTGGCGACCATATTTTTCATAGGCATTACTGTGCCTTCTGATAACCCTCAACTTCTTACCGACGCGAACAATGCCTCGGCATCGCCTCTTGTCATTGCCGCCATATTAGCCGGGGTACCAGTCCTTCCCCATATTATTAACGCTGTCCTCCTCACGGCAGTGCTATCCGCCGCAAATTCGAACGTATACTCAAGTAGTCGAATCATCGTCTCGCTAGCTGGGGAGGGACACGCGCCCCGGTTTTTGGCGCGAACCAACCGCTTCGGCACGCCTCATTACGCCGTGGCCCTCTCATCAGCTATTGGCTTGCTGGCTTTCCTCAACCTATCATCTGGAGGCAGCAACGTCTTCAGCTGGTTGCTGAACATCGCTAGTATAGCTGGCTTTCTCGGCTGGTGCTCTATCGCTATCTGCCACTTGGCCTTCATGCGGGTTCTACGAGCCCGGGGGATATCACGAGACTCGCTGGCCTTTAAAGCGCCGATGCAGCCTTACCTGACCATATACGGGCTCTTTTTTTGTGCACTTATCCTGATCACGAATGGTTTTACCGTGTTTATCCGGTGGAACACCAGCAACTTCTTCACAGCGTATATCAGTCTTATTCTATTTATTGTTCTTTACCTCGGACACAAGATCACTTTCCGCACGAAGATAAAGGCCCTGGACGAGATCGATATTGACCGGGGCAGAGTAATTCCAAGCAGTTAACAGATTTTAGTTTATTATTTACCTACATAGTAATTTATTGAATATATCTGGCGTTATGAATTGGTGCGAATATAAATATAAATATAAATATATGTTTTTTCTGGCCCATTTCCCTTGGGTCTTATATTGCTAGCTAGAGATGTCCATCAAGTCATTGTCATCTCTTCCGGGACAACAAGCAGGACTGGAGATGCGTTCCAGCCTCGTAACTATCTTAGATTTACCCACCTCCAATTAACTTATTTCAATACTAGCAACTAGTCAGCAACTAGTCACAAACGGCGTATTGCCGACGTAAACTCGGTGCAACCCGTAATCAAGATCGATCCCACCAGAGCGCCCAAGTCCCATTGCTGAGTGGGTTTAGGGCTCGAAATGCAACCCCGTAGCCCTAAGCCACCCCCTTCAGACGAGATACACACCAGGACCATCATCCTCCGGGCTTGTGGTTTAGTGGTATAATACTCCCTTAGCATCAGCGGCTCCTTTCGAGAAGCTCGCAGAGATTGGGAGTGGTCCGGGGTTCGATTCCCCGCGAGTCCAGTTTCGGTGGTTCAATTCCACCTATCTATACCTGCTTTGTTTTTTTTTCTTTTTTTTTTTGGTTCTGGTCTTTGGGTTGGTGGTGATATGTATCTCGTCGGTCTGACTGACGCCTGCGAATTTGAATATTTTAGGTACCTAATTATTTAGTAGAATATCGCTGGGTAGACTTTCGCAATGGTCCATGGGCCTAGGTTAATACTACACGCACGTTTGAGCGCTCAACGACAGTGACGACAACGGTGAGATTTACGTACTCAGTAGGGTGTGGCCTTTGCCTTATCAGTATGGTACCTATAATGATGACGCCGGGTATACGAAATACAGATCCGATGATCGCATCTTAGATCTCATCGATCTTATTCAATACTATCTAAGTTAGCCTAACCTAAACAAATATGTAGATCGACATGGCTGAGGGAATCCCCACTCTCCAATGAGTATGGATCCGCACAGAGCCAGGACACGACACATTCTTGAGAATTCGCGTCAAGCCGTCTTCCAAGACACATACCCTCTCCCTTTAGTCTCCGACTCCCTAAGCTCATGAGTACGTATAGGGTGAGTCCGGCGAGCCATCGCGATGACCCCTTACTATTGGGTTGCCGCTATGATTTTGTTCACGACCTCAGTTCTCCTCTCAATAGCTCGCTGTGAGCTAGGGCGCGCCTCAAGCTTCGCGTACCAAGCCTCATAGCGAGGATACTTACCCTACGCGAGGTTAGTAAGCCCAACATTTCTATACAAGCGCGGAAAACAGGTAAAGAAACCGACCTTCTCGATCAAAAAGCCCGTTCTCTCCATAATGAAGCCGCCAATCTGCTCCCACATGAACCAACAAAGATCCGCGACGGTGCATTTGTCGCCGACAAGCCATAGGTCTTCATCCCCTGACTTCTCGCCTCGCTTCTCCTCTGCGCGGCGGGAGAAGTGCAGCTCTAGCACAGATCGCACGCGCTCGGCCTCCTTCCAGTACCGCTCGATGGCCGACGGCAGTTTCTCGTGATGGAACAGCAAGAACCAGACGCCTTGTCCGTAATACGGACCTTGTCCTGTTCGATTAAGCTGCGTCAGCCTTAGAGCCACTGAAGAACCCTGAGATCTGCGGGAACAAAGCCTTACCGGAAATCTGAAAAGCCAGCCATTGCTTTATGAGGTAGTTCTCGGGGAAAGTGGTGTAAGAGATCTTATGGTCCTTGTCGTACTGCTCGACTAAGTACTCAGCGATGGCGCTGGATTCCCAGAGCGTGAGGCCTGTGTTCGGGTCATGGATCGCCGGTACGCGGCCGTTGGGATTGACCTTCAGGAACGCCTCCTCTTTCATCTCGTGAAACTCCAGTAACAGATTTTCGTATGGAATGTCTAGTTCTTCGAGGATCATTCGCACTTTGAGCGGGTTGGGACCGGCCGAGTGTCCCCAGACGGTGATAGGCTTGAGTGAAGCGTTGGACGACATGGTGATAGATGAAAGAGATGCGAAGCTGCGAGTGCGAGAGTGCTTGGTTTCAAAGTTGGATAGAATGCTCGTGATTGCTTTCTGGCATATACACGATCTTCGAGAAGGCGAGCCGACGTCTCCTTATGAGCGGCAGAGGGCCAGGCAATGAGAGCATTGTGAGGCCCTATGTGATTACAGGAATGAAGATCCATCTGCGATCAGACCGCGTTCTGAGTCACACTTGATCCTTTCCGAGGACCTGGTTCACATCCTATTGCTATTGTAAAAGTTGAAGTTTCTTTCAGACGACCTAGAAGATGATCCAGACGCGACGCGTTTCTCCGCTTCCTATGGGAATCGATATTAAGGTAATGTTTAGCGAAGTCAGTCTGCCAACACTGGGGTAAAAAGTGCAACTACCGCGTATAATTATCGCGAAATATCATAGCGTAGTGTAATTCAATAGCCCGCCCAGGCAGCCATCCGCCTGCTGACACTTTTGGGACCGATCAACTGCAATGGGAACGGGGTTAACGGATATTCTACTGTTAGAGTTGTCGGCGACGTTTTCATTTGTATGACTCACAAGATGCTCTCGGTTGCTTATAACTGGGAGATGGTCAGCAGTAGAACCCCCGGACCGGATTCATCCTCCCGAGTTATCCTCGGCTTTGTTAACCAACATGAATATACCTATGATTTGGGAAGGTACGTAAGTAGATCGAAATATTGCGAGCCTCTCATTGCCCTTGCTCGTCAACTCGAGCAACGTCATCATGGTGAGTCTGAAGAGTGTTGGTTTTAGGTATGTAGGTTGACATCGGATCTCAAAGTTATAATAACAAACCCCGATTGCACAGTGCTGACGGAAGGGGATAATACAACAAGGCCTGTGGATTTGAAGGAGCAGAATGTAATGTCAACAACGACCATAGCCTCATTTTGATCGGGTAAAAAGTCAACGACGGGTTTAAAGTGTGCCTATCTATGTCTGCTTAAGATTTTTCTAAGGTGTGCTGTGCACATGGTTGCTGGGAAACAATGTCAGATACACAAAACATCGGGCGTATCGCAATACCGACACTTGCACGTCGAAGTTACGGGTACTAGATAGCGATTTCCTTCTTTTTTTTACCACTCCTATGAGATGCTGAAGCTTCGCCCTTCCTAAGATTGTAGATTACAGTTTTCAAACATGGAAAGAAACACCAAGAAACGTAGAAAACGGCAGATGTGACCCAGTCACTCAACAGATAGTCACAAATCAAACCGGCCGTCACGTCACTCTAGTAGTACTTACACAGGACTTACTCCGTGATCTCCTGATTCGATAATCAGTCGTACGCGATCGATGCGCAGCTATCAATCTAGATCAGTAGGCCGTAGTTTGGAAGGTGCGCGCTACCGTAATTCTTAAGACTTGTACACAATATGTGCGGCGGTACTGAGACCTCCGAGCATCACCACCACGCGCCTCAAGAAAAAAGTGACAACAACCCCTATTTTTTTTGTCCACGCCATTCACCTAATTTAAATCTCGACTTTGCCCCTAAGAACCATATTGATTGATTGTTTATACTCAGTTTCCATTGGGGAATTGGACAAGCATCGGACCTACTTTACCTATCTCCCGTTTTCTTGCAGCTTGCTTGCTTCTCATACCCATTCCGCGATCCCCATCCTTCAAGCTTGGAACCTGCCTGTCTTGCTGATTTTTCGAGGTGAATTTAGCACGGGCCACTGCTGTCCGTGATGCTTCATGCTCGAATACCGCTATCGCCGTACTACCGGCTTTGCTTCGCGAGCCTCCCAGTTTCCTACGGGCTACATTGCTTGATCCCCCGTTTTCGGGAGTGATAGCTAGACATTCCGTTCCCCCAATATAAGCCTCGTTGGCTTCGTCGGTCGATACTATAGCCATGTTGAGTGGATCTGGTCATGCCGCCTCGGGGGCTGGGGTTTTCGTAGCACCGAAGAACCTCGATATCAATGATCCAGGCATGTTGCTTCGATTCTCGGAACGCAGACGTTGTTTCCCTCTGACTATGGCGCAGGCTCTATCAGGTCCGTTGCCAGCACGATTGCTTATGGCACGAGTAAGTTACACTTGCCTTTTGATAAGAAACATGAAGGGTTTTGTTCCGAGTTCAAGATACAGCCATGTCTAAAGCTTCGCAGCGATCTCGAGACATTCGCGCATACGATCGAGATTGTAATAATTGCTATCGCTAACTCCAAGCGACCCAGTGAGTTACTACACTGGCAACATTACCAACACGCCAGAGGTCTGTGAAAATCCCCCTTTCCAAATAGACAAATTGGTCAGACCGTCAGATCCAGGACTAACCGTGCATCCACACCAGACTATCGCTATTTTCCCGCCACCTCACTGTAAGAGCCGGGCACCTCTTCCAGCGATATATCATGCTGGGTTATTAACTTCTACGTCGAAATAGACTGGTGGCAGGCTGGTGCTTGTTGGGGTGCCATGCTAGACTATTCGCACTACACAGGCGATGCCTCGTACGATGAAGTAATAACGCAAGCGCTACTTAGCCAGGTCGGGCCTCAATTCGACTTCATGGACCCTCAGTATGCGAGTTCTGAAGGAAATGATGATCAAGCTTTCTGGGCTTTCACTATACTAGAAGCGGCCGAACGCAACTTTCCACAGCCGGATGACTCCGTGCCCTCCTGGCTGCAGGTGGCGGAGAATATATGGAACACGATGGTCCTCAGATGGGACGAGACGACCTGCGGTGGTGGCTTGCACTGGCAGATCTACGCCAGTAACCCAAATGGTCTCGACTACAAGAACTCGGTGGCAAACGGCGGCTTCTTTCAAATGTCGGCCCGACTTGCTCGAGCAACCGAGAATGAAACATACCTCCAGTGGGCAGAAAAGGTATGGGACTGGTCGCAAAATATCGGCTTCATCGACGAGAATTTCATCGTGCTGGACGGCGCTAGTTCGATAAAAGAATGCAAGAATGTCAACCCACTCAGCTTCTCATACGTGCAAGGCATTTACATGTATGGAGCTGCGGTTCTTTTCAACTACACCAACGGAGACAAGACCTGGGGCGACCGGACGAACAGACTCCTCCAGGCCTCCCGATACTACTTTGGCCCCTTTCCTAACGCCACGAATATCATGTACGAGCGTGATTGCGAGTTAGTCGACAGATGCGACACGGACATGAAATCGTTCAAGGGCTACCTTTCTCGGTTTATGGCTGCTACAACACAGATGATGCGCTCGACTCATTCTGACGTCCAGGAGCTACTGGCTGCGTCTGCCGTGGCAGCAGGGAAAGCTTGTTCTGGAGGAGACAATGGCACCGTGTGTGGTGAGAAATGGTATGAATCCCAGAACGTAAACTTCGGAGCACCATTGGATTAGATCCCGTTGCGCTTTCACCCGAGAACGATATTGACGTATATTGACTCTGGCTTTTGAATAGGTATGTCGGAGGATATGACGGGAGTCCAGGGCTCGGTCAACAAATGACGGGCCTTGAAACTGTCCAGGCACTGCTTGCGTTTGATGCCCAGCCGCCCT